GAAAAGAGACATATATATATATATATATATATATATATTTATATTAAAGATGGGAACGATTGGGCTGAAAGTATTCATTTAGTGAAATTAATCACCCTGTGCTTTCATATGCATTTAAGTGGTAGTGTTGGTAGCTCTTTCTTCCTCTTTTTGCTGGTGACATTTGACTGATATATACTGTTGTCCTAAACTGACACATCTCAAAACACACCATCAATCCATCAATAAAGGCCCTGCATAAAGTCAGACTGTAATAATCAATGTAGATTTAATTAAGCCTGATGCCACAAGAGTCATCTTTCCAGTCTTCAGGCCACACACACACACACACTTATTTTTAACACACTTGTATGTCATCAGTGAGAAGCTCCCTGCTATTATAATGCTCCTGCTGGGTTTGCGTCACTCCAGCAGATAATAGTAACCAGTCCATTAAGTGAAGTCAGTGTACATCGTGTGCTGTACTCAATGTACTACAGTAGATAAATGTCCCTAAATGCCTCTAAAATGAATGTGTTTATGAATGTGTATTTGTAGTATGTATGTATGTGTGCTTGCATGAGCTATAAATGATGATACAATTTTCTGATTGGCACATTATTTTTTGCTGCGTACAGAGCTTTGCTTTGGGCTATCATAGAGATGAGTGTGATTTCTCAGGGCACCTATTTCAGTGATATCTGTCAGGTAATAGGGATATTCAATGCATGATATTCTAAAAAATGCTTACAGCAGATTTAAGACAAGATGCTCAAACAAAGTATGCCATTCACTTGCAGACTAAGGTGGTTGCCTGGTCTCCCAATGTGGCAAAGCCTGGTTATTCTGGTCTGTTTTGATGGTTTTAGAGTGGTTTTGGGTACTTTCAGCTAGGAGAGCAGTTGGCCGACCAGCTAATTTAACACCCACTTGGATCAGGCTAGCAGTATAGGAGATAAAGCTTAAAATAAAGTCAGATTGTAAAACAAAGTTGCATTGTGAGATGAAAAATCATGCTGTAAGATATAAAGTCACACTCTGAGATACCAAATCACACGGAGACAAAGCCATTATTGGGAGATATAAAGTTGCAATAAAAAAGTAGCAATTATGAGATACAAATTTGTATGCAAAGTCAGAAACAGGCTTCTGCATGGGAGTCCAGTTAAGTAGCTAAGATCAGCAAACACTGGTTTGAGATGTTTTTCCAGCAGGGAAAACACACAACAGCACAATTATATGACATAATTCTATACTTGGTGCGCTCTGTGTTCTGAACTAAACAAAACTAAGCTAAGTGTTGCATTTTGTGTTGAGCTCTGAGGTCAGAACCGTTTGTTCATATTATGCTGGAATGTACTGACATCAATACAGAATCACACGACATTGCAAATAATTTGTGTGTGTGTGTGTGTGTGTGTGTGAGAGAGAGTGAAGACAAAGCAGAGATCTTTTTAAAAGTGAACATAAAGGGCTTGCA